GTCCAACCTGGCCTGGTCTGCACCCCATTCTGGCTCTAGCTCATGACAGTATGTACCATGGAACGGTCCAGCATGGCCTACCCCCAGAACTGGCCCACATGTATGCCAACAGTATCTCAGCCCTGCTTGTTCTGGCCTCCCCACTCCTCTCCAGCCCCAGTTTTTGCACTCACCAGTGAGAGCTACAGTATAGCAGCGGAGTTCCCCAAGTTCCCCTATCAGGCCTGCTCCCAGCCTCAGATCTTACAACTGCCTGCAGGTGCTGCTGTACTAACATAACCAAAAACTCACTAGCTTTAAACTTTAGATTAGACACTCAACTAATTAGTCACTCAGCTAGTTTATTTCTCATCAGTTAAAAAGGCAAAGATAGGTAATATTACAACGCCTAAGTAGAAGTGTGAATATGTAGGTTCTCTGTAACCCCTAAACTTCTGAATATAAAACACTGACTATATCCCCTTTTGAAACAGAATAAAGTTTAGGCATATGATATCCTCTCTACCCCTAGCAGATGTCTTTACAGCTAAGAAAGATCCAGGGGCTCTTCCAGATGTTTCAAAGGCTCAACTTCTATAAAATAATTAAAGAGCTCACTGCTCCCAGGTTATTTCAGTGGGCTGTAATCAGTGAAAAACAGATTTACTCAATACTCAAATGTTGTAAACGCTGGTTTTTCCAGATTTAGTTTCAGGTCCAAATCTATAGTATATCAAGTTGAGTTAAGCTACTGGGATATGCACATCCCATATTGGAGTGCTAGCCTGAATTCTGTCTGCTCTACTTCTAACGCACTTCCTCGATAATGTGCCTTGGAAATAGTAGGCAAGGGCTCAAGTATTCAAGTTCCTGCAACATGGGAGATGTAGATGGAGATCCTGGCTCCTGTCTTCAGCTTGGTGCAGCCCCAACTGCAGAGGCCATGTTGAGAAGTGACCCAGGAGATGGAAGACCAATCTGTCTCTTTCCTTCTTTTTATGCCTTCCAAACAAATAAATCTTAAGGGGAAAAAAACAGTCCTCCCCTCCCCCATGTGTGGAAAACCAAAACAGGAGGAAATTAGGTGAAAGTAAAGCAGATGATATAGATTATTTTTCAAATTACAAAAAAAAAAAAGAAGAAGAAGAAGAAGAAAGAAAATAACACAACAAATTTAGAAAGTAAGGCATTCTGGTAAGAGGTGAGGAAAATTTTTCATGAACTATTAAGCAGGATTAAGTAATGAACACCTGAATTATTAAAACACAGACACATGGAATCACAACAACAGAATAAACAAAGGGTTTTCTGAGGCAGCTTTCAATTCTGTGGTGTCTAACTAATACACACTCAAACACTCGCTGTTTTTCTATTCTAGGAGTTTAACTACAAACATTTTTGTTTTATTTATTGCTGGTGTTTGCTACTGTTGATGTTACAGGGTGAAGAAAGTACTTTCTTTGTTTTCAGCTTCTATATTTGGCAGTCTGGGTACCATCTGTATAGGGAAAACAGGTGTTTTACAAAAATAGCCAGACTTTTCTCACCTAATGCACTTTAGAGCAGGAAGCTTCTTAGAAAGACAGAATAAAGAACGGAAGGATGCCGAAATTTCCAAGCATTTATGGCACCAGAAAGAAAAGCAGAGATTCTCATAAAAGAGTCAAAACATGGATAGATGTGCACACCCATGAGTGCGGTGGCTCAGCTTAACCTGATTCACCCCCAGACCTGGCCCACACATAAGCTGACAGGAGTTGCTGCCTTGAACAGCCTGGCCCTTGCCCAGCGCTGGCTCAAATGATCACCAGTAGGAACTGCTCCCAGCAAGTGAGTACCGACAGTTTCCCTACCTTCACTGGTTTGGTGAAGAATCATTTTTTGTAACACCAAAGACAGTGAAATATATCAGCAAATACTGGTTATTTGCCAAGAATAAAATTAACAGAGTATACAACTGTCAAGGGACAAAAAAACAAAATTCACAATCTCTGGGGTCCAGTTTCCTCATCTGTGTAATAGAGATACTACTGGGATTACTCTGAAAACCTACATAGGTTAATGTGATGGTACTCATCATACTGAGTCATCACCGATCCTCAAAAAACGGTAGGGATAAATGGAACAGCACAGTAGGCTGCCACTTGGGACACACATTTCAAATCAGAGTGTCACTTCCTGTCCCAGCTCTTCTGCTCCCAATCCAGCTTCCTACTAAAATGTCTGGGAAGGTACTGTAAGATGGCCAAAATACTTGAGCCCCTGCTACCCATGTGAGAGACTGGGATGGAGTTCCTTAGCTGGGGTCTTTGGTCTGGCCCAGTCCTGGCTGTTACAGGTATGTGTGACTGAACCAGCAGGTAAAATACTGATTTCTGTGTGTGTGTGTCTTCCTCCTCTCTCTCTCCCTCTTCTACTCTGTCTTTCAAGTGTATGGAAACAAAGATTTAAAAAAAAAAGCATGCCCTCTCCACCCTCTAAAATCAATCACAAAATTTTACAATGAAAAGGGACTACCAAATAGCATCTAGTTCTAAATAAGAAACCAAATAATTCAGAATGTTTTAACCTATACAGAAGTGCTATATTATTAAAAATGCAAAAAGGCAGTAAGAAATTATAGGATCTCAAAAGCCTCAGCACTACTCAGTACAGATGAACGGTTGCAGTGGAAGGAGCTCCCTTGCACGGCTCTAACAGGGGATGTCCCTCATCAACATCAGGGCAGAAGGAGTCCCTCCTCACATTGTTCCAAACGGTTAGAAAATAAACGTAACTTTTCCCTCCCTGCTGCAGATTACAGGATAGCAAGTAAGAGTTAGAAATCTGTGCTCCAAGTTAGTCATAAAAATCGAAGATAAACCTCAAAACATTTTCTCATAGGAACAAAGATAACAGTTAAATTTTCAAGCTAGCCCTCACAGCAATTAAGCAATGCAACTAAAAACATTTTAATTGACTGTTTTTCTCATTATAAGTGCAATAGTTAAGCCATGTTATAGATTAAACTGAACTTTATTGAAAAAGCCTTGGCCTGCAACAATAAAATGTTATGGGGCGGGGGGGAATGTGTACTACATTTTAAACAAAAACTTACAGACCCTGAAGAGACAGAACAGAGCTGAGAGAGAAATAAGGAGGGTGTTGCCTTGTTTTGAAGAAAAGGCATCTAAATTACACTAAAACACAGCTGCTAAGGATCACCACACCTCTAACAAGTGATTAGATCCCATCCTGTGACCAACATGGGGCCCCACCACAGGGAACAGCAAGTTTGCTAAAGCTAAGCACACAGATAAAACAACTTCACCCTATCTTGCTATGGAAATCACACACCAAATCCTAGTGCTTTGAGATTCACAGACTACATATTTGTCTTGACTACTTAGCACTGCTGCTGACCCTAAGCTAACACATCTACTAAGAAGGAAGCAAATCAACAGTTATGAAGCATCCAAATATGCTCCCATTTGAACCATAACAACACCTTAAGTAAAACAGTATCCCAAATTTATGTCTGCATAAAGAAAACAATGTTGAGTAACTTGCCCTCAGCACCAGGAAAAAGAACCCAGGGACTCTGAATGCCATTATCTCTGCATCTGAGGGTTCCTTCCCCAAAGGAAGAAAACAGGTACCAATCAATGAGCAGCTGACCACTTTTACCGGTCACTACTGACCACTGGATCTTCCGGTTAGCAAGCTGGGAAAAAGCTAAACCACTAACTACTCATTTCACAGAATCAACTCCGTATTCACAGAATGCTCTGAGAGCAAAAAATGTCCCTAGAGGTTGATGCCGGCTCTCTGTATCATTTACCAATTCTCAGCAGTGGAGCACGAGGGCTCTTTTCTTTCATCCTAGCAGAGCTAATTTACAACTTCAGAAAGCTACCTTCCAAAAAAAGTTTTTCTACCAGCACAGAAGACTTCTCTGTCCATCCTTAAATTTAAATATACTCAACTCCTACATGGTAACCTGCCTAATGGTATTGGAAAGCATGTAACCACAGCAGTTTAAAAAGTTATTTTGTAATGATTTGTGAACCCATAGTTACACTTCAGTAAAAATAAACAAACATTATACTTAGACAGATTTCCTATCCAAAGTTTTCTATTCACAAGCTTTGAGAGATAAAGCCTGCATACATGCCACAATTTTGAATCAGCTTCTAATCGAACAAGAGGATAGGCAACTTAAAACAATGCAGTGTGGCCAACTGAACTCTGCTATCACATAACTGCCACAAAACACATTATAGAAGTAAAACTAGCATTACTCCTAAATTACTGCATATTCTTCCTTAAAGAACCTTAACGTCCAAGGATTTATTTTGCTTTTAGAGGTTGACACAGCAAAAACAAGATTTTAAGAATAACGGTTTCGTCTAACTCTGTTTTTTTTTTTTAATAACTAAGCAACACTGATGCAGATTCAGAAATATTTCATATTGTAAGGTTCCTGAAACTTACGACAAAGCAAATTAAAACGGACCAAACATTTGAAGGCAAACATCTGCAAAATTTTGAACTGGGAAAATGATGTCAACGTTTTTCATCCCCCAACCTTCCCTTTTTTTTTTTTTTTTTTTTTTAAGATTCCAGTCCAAAAATAAACAGCCATTGGGCTCATCAACTGAAGTGCGGAAACTCGTTAAAATTAAGGTTTTGGAACACATAAAACAGATTCCCAGAATTTGACTATTTGGGTAAAACCGCCCAGCGCGCCGCACCAGAAACCTCGGGCCATTGCCCGGGCCTGGCCCGCCCCTCCCGGGGACCGCACCTGCCGAGGCCGCACCGCCAGCGCCCCCTGCCGCTCTCCCGCACCCACAGACCCGCGCCCACCCCCGCACCGCACCCGCCCCCACCCCGCGCTCGCCCCGCGCCGAGGCCGCGCAGCCTGCAGCCAGGGGCGGGGGCCCGAGGGCGCGAATCGAGGCGACGCCGGTGCAGCCGGGGAGCATCCTTCCCCCCGCACCCTGGAACTCCCGCCGCGGCCAGGCCGGGGCCTCACCTACCTACGCCGTATTTCTCCTCCTCGGTGGGGGTCCACATGGCCGGGCCGGGCGCGGCCCCGCGGGCGCGGCGGCCGGGCGACAGCGCGGCGGGGACGGCGGCGGGCCCGGCTGTGGCGCACCGCGAGACGAGGCGGGGGCGGTCAGGCGGCGCGGGGCAGTGGGCGGCGCATCTCTCACAGGCCGTCCAGGATGCCACCGCCCCCGCCTCCACGACCGGACCGCGACGCTTTCGCGGGCGGCCCAGCAGCTCCAGGCGCCGCAGGCAGAAGAAAAAAAGCTCGCCACTTGTCCGTCCCGCGCCGCCGCTCGGTTTCTCACAGCTCCGCCGCTCGGCTCCCGGCCCCGCCGCGGCTCGGCTCGCCTCAGCGGGCTCGCAAGACGCCCGCGCATGCGCCACTCCCCGGCGCGCGGGGGCTCGCGCCACCCGGGCTCGCGCCGCCCGAGCCCGCGCGCCGATCCACGCGCCGCCGCGCGTCAACCGAGGGAAATCGGCGAGAGGAAATTGGACCACCCGGCCCTGGGCAGGTCAGGCCTCTAGGCGACTGTGCGGGGAGGTGGGAGGACCGGGCAAGTGAGCGACGAGCTCCCCGAAAACACCCAGCTAAACACACACACGCGCGCACGCGGACTTTCCGCTTCCAACGCTTTCTGCCGTCAGCACCGAGGTGACCCTGGGCCCTCTGGTCAGAGAGGGAGGATCTGACACCGTTCTCAAACGCAGCCCAAGTGTCAACGACAGTGCCATCAAGGTCCTAATACTCAGACAAGCCTCTGGAACCAGTCTGGACATCCCCGGAGACCCGCGGGTCGCCCTGAGGGAACCGGATGGCAGGTACTCCTGTCTGTAGTCCCCTGAACGTGTAAGGACTGCACAGTCACAGCAGCCCCCTGCCAAGCTAGGCAGTGGTCCAGATCCCTCAGAAACTTCCCCCTCCCTAAAAATCCATTCATTTGACACCTACCAATGTCATCTCTGACCCCAACTCAGCGCCTCAACAAATAACTGCCCTCCACCTTCCTCATGACCGCCAGAGTGTCACCAGCTCTGATACCAGCAGGTGCATACATTTGTCTCCACAGCATTACCAACACCCTGGTGTCACCTCCATCACTCTTGGACACCCTCCTTTTCAAAGCCCAGCTTAGCACCTCACTTCCAGAAACCCCATCCTGATCCTGCAGTCAGCCTCCTCAATCCTTTCTGTCTTGGTCAGGGATCTGTTAGGTTCCTTGTGTCTTGTTTGTCCCATAATGGTAAGCTCCCAGAGGGCAAGGTCCAGGTTGAAGTCTTCCTGACACCAGCCCCCATCAGCACAAACTGAGGTTATTTTGATAATGAACTGGTGGTGCTGATTCTTTCTTCAAAGTATCCTTTGTGATTGGTCATTCCTCCCAACCTAGTCTATTGCTGCTCCTTTTCTGCCTTCCCCAGCCAAAGAAGGCTGCTCACTCCTGTCCAGAAAAGGTTCTCTGAATGGCTGAGTCAATAATCAGATCTACATTTTAAGAGGGGGGTGGTAGGTGGGGAGATTCAGTGACATAACACAAGGGATGACTGGGTTGAGTGCTTAGCATAGTGGTTAAGAAGTGGCTTGGGATGTCCAAGTCCTGTTTTAGAGTCCTGATCCATTTCCAGGCTACTTCCTGCTAATGACACCCTCAAATACAATGAAAATAAATGTATGTTTTAAAGATGTTTCTAAGTTGCTAACTATTGCATAAAGACATATCCTTTGACTAGTGGTCACCAGAGAATGAAACCACATACCCCATAAAGCTCTCCAGAAGTGGGACCAACCCATAAGGGACTTCTGAATAGCTTTAAAGCTTTTATTGCATTCTCTAGATCCACCTCTTTGTCCAGTGTACATGTTGACAGTAACAGAGCCTAAGAACAGATTTTCCCAACGTTTACTGTATTTTGCCCAGTCTGAATTTATCTTAAATGATGGCATCTCCAGATGAAGAATGTCCCATTCCACAACAGCACACCTTAGATCCAGGGTGAGAGGGCATTGATCCCAACTGGTAAAGAGACAAGAAAGGGGGCCAAGGTGAGAAGGAGGGCAACTGACAAGTCCTGAATTACTATACTCTTGTTGTTTGAACTAAATTTAGATTGTTTTCTCAAGTTGAAGCAAAAGAGCATAGCACACAATGTGGTGAATCGGCCTTCAGCGAGCCCATGCACCTGCCGCTATCCCCACAGCAGCTGGTCTTTCTTTCCTCAGGCTCAGTCCACTCGATACCACCTACATGCAACCTTCCCAGCATGTGCTGGGACCTACAACTTGACTCTGAAAATCAGGCCTTCAGCACATGAGCCTCCCCCTCCTCCCTACTCACTCACACTTGTTTTCTCAGCATCCCCAGGAGCCCACTGCTGGTGCCCACTGCTGCCCAGTCCACCATTTTCACCCTGCCCTGTTCCACAGGTACCTTCTATTGTCCCAGGAATACTTTCTCTATAGATGCTCCCCACCCCACATTCCTTCTCTCTCCCTCTCTTCCCATTTGATTCAAAGGAGATCCTCTTACATTTTAATTGTGTGCCACCAAAGGTCTGACTTCTGACCTCATTGTCTCCTGGAATCTGCTCCAAGAGGACACAAGCACCTCCCGTTCCTGGGCTGAATTGGACCATTGCATGCAAGATCCCTCAGCCTGCATCCTCTCCTCCCTTGAAACCCTCAATTTCTCCTCACCCCTCTGAGTCATTTTCCCTAAGAAGTCCTCCCCAGGGGGCTCTCCATAGAAGAGGATTTTTTTTTTCTCTCTCCTGTTAATACCTTTCCTGTACCATTTACCCACCCCACACTGCCCTGAGAGATCAAACGTATCCACATAGGTCAAGAACAAACATCTGCTTCCTTCGTCAGTGGCAAGGATTGCCCTTCATTTATTTTTATCCCACACAGATAGTAACATAGTGCTTGCTCCTAACAGGAATTAACACATACTCTTGAGTGAATGATCTTGCTGCGTGCATACTGAGACCATAACAAAAAAAGATTGGAAAAGAGAACTGAGATAGTTACCTCAGCAGTCACAAATCTCCAAATTCAGAAACTTGAGTTAATTAGAGCAAATTTCCCTGATATAGGCACACTTGTTTTAATTAAAAATTCATGAGACATCTTATTGAGCAGCTATATAAAAGATAAATGTGGTGGAACAATTTCCTTAAGAAATGAAGAACCCTGTAAACAGTGTGACGTATCATGTCACTGTCACTTTTTGAGTTTCACTCATTACTTCAGATAATACATTGCAACTTGATAAATGAGGACAGAATCAAATTTTCAACAGGAAATTCTTGAAGACTGGTGACCATTAGAAACAGCCTATAATCAAGCAGATTTTGGAAATAATGTGCAAGAAATGCAAACAGCCTCATCTTTTTTTCTTAAGTAGATTTCAAATTGATCAATATGCTTTATCATAAGAAAATTCCATAATGGTAAGTTCCCTATCACCTTTAGCAAAGGAGCCTGGCTCACTAGCTACAAAGCCTGATGAGCCACACTTTGTATCTTCACTCCTTGTTCTGTGCTGCCTGGAAAATCAGCAACATTTGAGAAGCCAGCCAGTCTGATGACTCAGCTCATAAAACAATGTGTGGCCACAAAGATGATGTTTATCCAGGAGCATTCTGGAGGCTCTTGCTACTGAAGTCGGCAAGCAGTGGGTAAGCTGCTCCCGATGCTCATTCTCCCAAGAGTTTCTGGCAGCAGTACCAGAGCAGTACTCCCTTCCTTCTCCCAGCAGCCGATCTCATCTGATGCTCTGTCCAAGCAGCATGGTAGGAAAGCTTCCAAAAACAACACAGTTGATAGAAAGGCAAAATGCAGCTGCAAACAGAACCGCTAGCACTTGTTTTGATCAGGAGATGCCAATCTCATGTGCATCCCAGGCTTAAATAGATGGTAGGTTCAAGAACAAATATTACCCAATTCACCGCTGCCCTATTGGGTTCCTCAGAGAGTGTATCTTAGGTAAAGAAAGCAGCTGCAGAGTGACTTTTCTTCATGGCAGAGAGATGCCACAGCTTGTCTCATTGAAGCAGCCCTTTTGGGAGGCAGCATTGGCATAAAGGGCTAGCACAGAGTGGGTAACGCAGAGTTCCTTTCAGGTGAAGAGACCTAAACTGACTAAGAAGATATTTTGGTGGTTTTGTTTTAAATTGTGTTGCATCTGAATATCTTTGCAGTGGGGCGGGGATAGAGAAGAGTGTGAAAGGGAGACAGATTAAGCAGTGCAATATTTCATTATTTTCCTCAAAATGACAAACTTTAACCATCTGTTCCTATTTTATCAACCCATTCAAAATATTATTGAAATACAGATTTCTTGCAGTTAGCCAATGTCTTCTAATGAATCTAACTGAGCAAAATTCCCCTGATTTCTGGTTGGCCCATAACTCTCAAGCCCTGCCATGTATCCAGGAATGTCTGAGAACCCTTGGCAGTTTTTTCTGCTAGCTGATCACTAAGCTGCCTGGAGACCCAGAGATAGCGGCCAGCTCTGCTCTTCCTCTCATCTTTAGAGGCTAACACACAGCATCTGATACAGAGTAGGTGCCCAGGAACACATCATTGAGTGAGTCCTGACTGTTTTGTTTTGTTTTGTTTTTAAGAAATTTTACACTTTTTATTTAATTGAGAGCCAGAGAAAGATTTTGCTGGTTCATTCTCCAAATACCTGCAACAGCTGGAATTGGGCTAAGTAGAAGCTGGGACCAAGAACTGCATGTCTCCCATGTGGGTGGCAGGGACCCAAGTACTTGAGCTATCACCTGCTGCCTCCCATAACGTGCATTCGCAGGAAGTTGGAATCAGAAGTAGGATCAGGACTTGAACCCAGACACTGCCATAGGGGATATGTGTGTACCCAGTGGCATCTTAACCACTTCACCACATACCTGCTTCTTTTTGTTCCGGAGATTTTTATCTTTATTCCAAGAAGGCTTGTGTTTGCTGCTGGTTTGTTTTCTGGCCAAGGAAAAAGGGAGGAGGTAGAAAGAAGATGCCCCTGGAAGGAAGGGCAAATAGAAACTTGGCATTATTTAGTTCTTCTTTCCCTTTGGGAGAAATAACTGTGCCCTTGAATTTTTGCACCAAGTCACCAAGGAGGGATTGAAATTAAAAACCTTGGAGAGTAATTAGCAACAAAACACTCTAATGTCAAGAAGTGAGTTTTATGGAACCATATTTGTAATATTAATTGGGCCTCTGCGTAGCCAAATGGTGAAATTATTGCTCTAATACAAATAGTCCCAAAAGAAGAAAACAGCCCAAAATAGTACGGATATTGCAAATCAGGACAGAAGTAATTTCTCTACACATTAAAAACAACCAATCGCAGAGCCTTCCCTAATTCACTTAGGTGTGAAACTAAGCCTGTTTATTTGGTATAGC